AACGAATAGTAAAACTAGTAGAAGAAATAGTATTTTCATAAACCTGTAGAGACATAGGCAATTGTTGCAAATTGTAGGCATGTCAGGAACACAATTTACCAATATTTTTCTAAAAAATTCTTAAACGATGGTTAAATGAAAAGTGAGTTTTTATAATAATTGCTGAAGCTACTTTCGACATCACATGACTTAAATTTTGCAATTTCCTCAATAGTTAGATTGCCGTAAAAAATCTTAATCCAGATTAGTTCCATGCAACTTTTATTTAAAGTAACACGTATAAGTGTTTAACGTATTATAAACATAGATTTTTTTCTAAAATGTTATGGAATTATTCTTGTTGACTATCAGCAGTTGTTCTTTTATTATGGCAGAGCGTGATTCTGGTGTTTTTAACAATTTTTAGACTTTCATCTCAAAGTGAAAGTGATGAGTTTTCGAGTATTTGAATAGAATATGTGATTAAGCTAAAACTACTTTTTAAAAGCTAAATCATTTTTTATTTTATTATTTTCAAATAAAGCCGTCGCATTTTTTTTATAGATATTACAGTGTTTTCGTCCAAAGACAAAATAGGTAGTGATTTTATATAATTAAAATTATCAGCATAATATGATACAGCGTAGTCCAGCCAATTAGTTGTCCATCGTGTAAGTATAATAAGTATAGGCTGTGGAAGCAATAGTAGGAAATAGTTCTCGAAATTTCAATTCACTCGACTAGCAGGAGCTTTTAAAATATTTGTTTAACACAAATATATTACTATCGATACTTGAGGATATTTGAGCATTATCGTTTTACACACCGTATGCAGCTCATGTGCAGCACAATAGTCATGTGTATCAATGTTTGGAAACCATTCAAACCAAACTCCATTCCAATTTCCAAATAAATTTGGAAAAAATCCCGACGGTAATGGGACGCGGTTTGCGCATGTGCAGTCTCATTGGCTGCGGCCAATCACAATTCACAGCTCGGTTCTACCGTTCAGAGGCTGCGCAGTTTTTCAAACTTATTTTGAATAGAGTATAGTAAATAGTTTTCTTTCTACATATTTGGTGCAGGTGTCAGTTAAAAGTAAAAATACTCTATCATAGTCATTACCTATCGATAATATTTTATGTTATTTCTATATATTATAATACGGCTAAAATAGACCACATAACATGCATTTTAAGTTTTTATTGTTGAAATACCTATGCAAATAGTTATGCAATAATAACATATAATAGGTACCTATGCATTTAATACAAAATATGCAAAGTAAAGTAACTACCATTTGCTTCGTCATGATGTACTTCGTGGACATTTTATACAAAAGCAGTAAATAATCAGAAGTTGCAAAAAAAATATGCCAATGCATATAATAATTTCTAGTCCTAGGTCCTATAGTTATTAACTACCAGCTATTTCAAAAGTTGGAACAATACAAGATGTCTAGATAGGTGCGGATTGTAGGTATGACGTATTACGTATAGACTGTATTTTTTTCAATATTTGATTTTATATTAATTAATAGTTAATTGATAAAAAATATTTAATAATTTTTAATTTTTGAGGAGGAAGGGGATTTATTCGAATTTGTCCACCCCTATATTGGTGTAGCCCTAGGTGGCTGCCTATTTTTATATACAGCATTGGGCCGTTTAGCATTGATGACAGATTCCAAAATAAGATTCTTATAAATGTACCTATATGTATAAACATTTTTATGAAGTCGCTATAAATGTGGTTTATTTCATTATTTGAATATTTCATTTTCGTTAAAGTTTCGATGAAGACGAAGCCACGAAGCGATTCAAGTCGGGCGTATTACCAATTAATTATGAGGGATAATAATATCTTATTAATTATTATTATCATAAGGGTTTTAGAACCCTTGGGTTTATAATGTGATAGCCCAAGGGCTATTCTGTTCTGGGAACTTTTTTGTGCACTGGTGCATCCAATACTCGAGTATGGTGCGATTGTATGGGATCCTCATACTGCAGGTGACTCGTTGCAGATTTAAAGGGTAAAGCTACGATTTTTGCAGACTGCATGTTAAACCAGATGATTAGGTATTCCCCCTGGTAGTCAGAAAAAAAATCCAAATTTTATAATAATTATAAATTAATAATTTTTAAATAATTTTTTTTTAAATGTTTAACATACCGTAGATCGGGGTGACTTTGATAAATTTTGTTAATTTTTTATTGTTGTTTTACTTGTAATTTCTTTAATACTTATGTCACAGATCTAAAAATAGTGTTGTTGCCTCAAGTTTGTTTTTACCAATTTCCTCAAATCGTAATTTAATTTTTTCAACTATTGGTTTTTTTTAAATTATATTTTGAAAATAGCTATCAAAGTTATACCGCCTTTGGGGTGACTTTGAAACCACTATTTTTTTTAATATGACGACTTATTCAATAATAAATTGGATTGTCCATCATTATCTCTTTAGTTTGTTTTAAAGTTCCTCAGCGCACTTCAAGGACAGAGTTCCTTTCTTAATTCCACATTCGACCCATATAATTTCTATCACCAACTAAATGAGCAATGAGCTTATTAAGTGGTTAAAGTCTTGCGCCAATGAGGATCCCTATATTTATATACAACACAATAATTTAATTTGATAGCTAATATAAGTTACATAGGTAATATGAAATGGCGCGAGGATGGAAGCCCACCATACTGATCCACACTGGACACTATATCATAAAATATCTTATAATCTAAAATTATCATCTCATGTACCTATTATTGTCATTATAGGTACTCATTTTAAAAACAAGGGCTTTTTCTGTAATTTTCTTAAATAAATAATGCTGTACATACTGGTATACAACATAGCACATAGCATATAGCACATACTAAGCACATAGCATAGAAGTTTCTAAAAATTACATTTATTAGTTACCTATTACATTTATTCAAAGCTGGGCAGTAACTAGTTAAAAAGCTAAAAGTTCAGTTAAAAGTTACTTCTTTTGATAACTTTTAACTTACCTAGTTAAAAAAAATATAGATTGTAGAAAATAACTTAGTTAGTAACCTAAGTTACTTCTTGTTGTAAATACTAATTATAACTTAACTTAGTTATTTTGTCAAAATAAAGTTATTTGTAAAAAGTTATTTACAAAAATGTTCCTATTATGATTTATGAACTGTATATTATTTGCATTGATATTTCTGAGAAGTGAGAACCTCCAAGGCGGAGGTATATCTACCGACGATTGTAGGTATGTATATTATTACATTTATTACTATTTACTATAATATACTATAATATAGACATATAGTAATTACTAATTAGTAGTATTATAGTGAATAGTGATTATTATTATTTATTTATTACTTATTTGAAATGTAACTAGGAAGTTAATATTTTTTATGAAATGACAACAGTTAAAATGTATGTTACATTGTTACTATATAGTGACTACTGACTAGTGTACTGTGTACATTGTTAGGTAGGCAATAATACAATTTCCAGAACAAACCTAATTAGTAAATTCTGATACGGTGATCACTATGCCGTGTTTTCTACAAGCTACACTCTACATTTCTATAATAGGTATTATATTGGTTGGTATATAAACAAAATAATATATAAAAATTAATTGTTGTCAATTTGTTTTACTTTATACCACGGATTAATATACTATTAATACATTAATCCGTGCTTTATACCAAAACTAGTTATTTTCCTACGATGAGATAAAAAAAAACGTTTATGATTAGATATAAATGTATTTTAAAATAAAGAACTAAGTAACTACCTTAGTTATTTTTTTCATGAAAATTTGTAATTTAACTTAGTTACTCAAATACAGTAACTTTTTAAAACTAACTTTAACTTAGCTTAGTTATTTTTTATTTTAGGTTTAACTATTAACTTTAACTAGTTAATAAAATTAGTTAACTTGCCCAGCTTTGCATTTATTTAATAAAAATAAAATTCACATAACAATGAAATTTCCAAAATGTGATGTTATCTATCTGTTGCTTAAAATGGAAAAATTATTCCAAAAACTGGAATGGACAACTAATGTATCAGCATGATCGACTTGATGTCCACGGATTTCTTTTATTAGTTTCATTTATTCCTAAATTATAGTACCTACCTATTTAACATTTGTATAAAATTACCTGCTGCTTGCAGGTTATAATAATACCAGGTTGCATGAAAAATTGATTAATTTAATTTATCAATCATTATTTATTACCATTGACTACTATATATAAATCACGTTTAAGGGACCACTGGCAATTAGGTTATATTAGCTCACTATTGATTCATTAAATGTTTAGTGAATAGGTAGTGATTGTTCATGCAACCAGGCATAATAATACCTAGGACCTATAGGTATAATATATTTAAAAAAAATACAAACTTTTAACACACAAAAAACTATTTATACAAAATAAAATAAACCTAAATATAGGTAGGTACCTACCTAAAAAGAAAAGTTTATTAAATTTAAACAAACGTTTAGGTACCCAATTTCCTATTATCGTTAACCGTTAGGTAAGTGAGAACTAATAGGTATTGTTTAGTTCAGTGATTATTAATTGTTGGGATTATTTAAATTATCTATATTTTATACAATGGCTGATATTTATTTATTCAAGTCAGTTTTTGAGTAAGCGATAAGCACCTCTTAATCCCCATAATATATGTATTAGTTCCTGAATATTATACTTTTTATAATATATCATCAGTTAGTTTTCCTTGAACCCCACCACTAACATATTATAAATGTGCACACCTCCCACTATGGTCTAGTTGAGCCATTATCGAGGTCATATTTTAATTAAAAATATTTATACACAGGTTATGTATAATAATTAATAATTGATAATTAATAATAATATTGTGTTTACCTAACTGACTTGTCTATGATAGAATAATTTAATGCTTCCAGGGTGTCTGCTACAGGTTTCATGTGTACACTTGACATTTTAAAGACCACAAATATCATTACAACAGTTATTACTTATTTACCAATGCTATTATGACTTTTTTAAGTCATTCAGGTAATTTTTAAGACTAATATTATTGATGCACTTACAATTGTTTATACAATGATGTGTATATGTTATTAAAATTAGGTTTTCGAGTTGCCATATTACAACTGACTGTTACAGCCGACAAATCAACAAATGTGGCTATCGCGGTGGAAAGAATACGGATGGCGAAGATTAATGGTTGCACATTAGCTATACTGCCCGAATGTTTCAATGCACCATATGACACTAGTATAATATTAAATCATAGAAAATAATATAACTTATAAGCCATAATTTTTATCCCAAAACTACATAGGTTTATAGTTAGCTATGTACTTATGTAGGTATTACCAGTGCTAATAGATTTATTTTATTTAATTAAATTAGTAATAACCAACCTACAATCTGGTTTTAAATGTTTATCATTGGGATTTTATCTTAAAACATTTTCATAATTTCTATTGTAATTTCACAGTCATCAAAATGTCTTAGGTTGTTTAATAAAAATATTACAAAAATATGATTTTATGTAGTCACTATATCAATTTTGTAATTTCACAACCTTGTGTTCAAAATTTAAATAATATATAATTATACAGCTTTCAAAGTAATTATTTAAAAAAATATTTACATTTTTAACTTTAAAATAATTATAAAAATTAATTTATATTCCTACCTAGTACATATTATATCTACCAAATACCAAAATATTAGAAAATGGTACCTAAGAGAAATTATCAATTCACTTTTCTATCTATAAGGAAATAATGAATATTATTGTTATATTTTTTAAAGCTTAGCTAACAGCAACAACTAATAAAATATTTTTTTTTTGTGAACAATATATAAGAGCGCCCTCAACACTCATTAAACGTTATTGAGTTGTGGGTTTTGATAAAAATGCAGAATGTTGAAGCATCCCTTGCGTTCCTCTTAAAAATAATAATAGTATAAAATGTATAGTAATAATTACTCTATAGTCTATTTGTTTTCAGCCTTGTTCAGACAATATGCTGAAGTTATTCCTGGTGGCAAAACATGTAATGCTCTGTCTCAGGCTGCCAAATTAAATCAAATGTACGTTGTTGGTGGTTCAATTCCTGAGATATGTGATGAAAAAGTTTACAACACGTGTACGGTTTGGGATCCTGATGGAAATTTGATAGCCAAACATAGAAAAGTACTATTTATATTTTAGAAGATTTCATAGTTCAAGCAGGTAGTGCAATTAAACTGCGGTGACATCGACAAAGGATGAAATCCCAAAATAAATAATTTTATCAATGTTATGTTAATTAATATGTTTGAATAATAATTGAACTGGCTGTTAGCGGTTTTCAAATAATACAATAATGAGTACACACTTATTAGTACCTATTTTATCAAAGTATCATCTTTGTGAGTGGTTAAATAAAATGTAACTTTTTTTTGACTGTTGAAAAATTAGAGAAAAATTATCCCTGAATTAAAAAAAAAAAATAGTATTGTAAATAAAAGCAAATACTTACCTACATTAAAATAATAAATTTTAGTAGAAATGTCACTTATTGCTTTTGAATTTGTCGCTCACTAGTCACTATATAACTAGTATATTGAATATTCTATTAAAGTATTAAAGCAACAGAACTTATACATGGACAAATTTATAGGTGCATTTATTTGATGTAAGCATACCTGGTAGTACTTGCTTCAAAGAATCTGATGCCATGTCGGCGGGCAATACACTTAATACATTTCAGTTGGGAAAATTTAAGATTGGGCTAGGTATTTGTTATGATATACGATTTTCAGAGATGGCAGCATTATATCGAAAACAAGGTTTGTTATTTTGTTTAATTATAAATATTTATTAAGGTAGCTATAATCAAAAACAATTTTGGTTTTAAGGATGTGATATGTTAATATACCCTGGTGCCTTTTGTACGGAGATTGGACCTTTACATTGGAGTTTGTTAACTAGATTCAGAGCTATGGAAAATCAAGCATTTGTAGCTGTCGCTTCTCCGGCCAGAGTTACTGATTCCAGTTATGTAGCATGGGGTCATTCAATGATTGTGGATCCATGGGGTAAAGTTTTAGGTGAAGCTACTGAAAAGGATATGGATTTATATAGAGATCTTGGTAAATAAAGGTAGTGTTAATTGTTCTTGTTCAATCATAAAATATTTAATGTGTTGTAGACTTTGGTGTACGAGAAAACATAAGACGGCAAATACCCACGGAATACCAGAGAAGAACTGACATGTATGACACAATTGATATGACAAATAAAATAAATAATTAATATTGATCTGTTTATGAAAACCATATATTAATGACCTGAACCTAACCAAGTCAATATTTGAAGCACTGCAATTATTACTAATATAATTCAAATAACATGTTTATGAAATGTAATTAATATATTGAACAACTTTAATATCTTTAGTTTGAAAAATAAATCTAAATTTGAACTATCCATATTTCAAGTAATTGTCGATTGAGACTAAAAAAAAAAAATACCTATAATTTATTATATAATAAAGTCATATTTAGTCATTCAGGCAATGTTAAAAAATACATATTATTGTTCTTTTTTTTTTCCATAAATAATAAATAAATAACATGGTTATTTGTTTAATGTTATTCTGTGGGCTTAATTTTAAATTAAAGTTAATAAGCTGATGATACGTGTTTTGTTAAAAACGATTATATAAATGCCAATTTTTAACACTGTCTAGAAAGAAAAAAGTTAAAACAGATACTTGCGAGAAAAGCATTTTTTATACATGTTTAATGTATTTTTTTTTTACCGTAGAATTGTCTATTACTTATTGGTAAGACAATTAAAAGTTGTTTTTTTTATCACAGTAAGTTTGTTATGTACCTAAGAATTAATTAAAAAAATAAACACTCTTAACTTGAGAACTTTCTGATAAATGCATTGTAAAACATGTGCAGAAAATAATATTGTCCAGGTCCTATTATTTGTAAGATTTTCAGAACTTTATCTCCAATCGTTAATTCACTACAAAGCTGCAAAGATGAAAAACATCAAAAAACGCCCAATAAAATTTTGTTTAATTTTTTTTAATGTTCTGTAGTGAATTAACTATTAAAGATAAAGTTTTGCAAATCTTCACTGCACTACTCCTAACCTATCTAGACACGCGGTAGCGTGTCAAGCCAAGTTCTAGCTAACAGAACTGGCGAGCAGCACCGTGTGTAATATTACACGAACCATTTGGAGCCACTTTTGACCCCCTCATAACTCAAAAACTATTCCACATAAACATGTCAAATTTGGCTCATATATTGAGACTAACGAGATACATATGTGCTCTAAATTTCATAAACACACTTCAAACCGTTATTTAGATATTAACGTCCGAAAATCGTCATTTTTATCACTGACTTACCTATAGATCAAAATTCTAACCCAGTTCCAGATGACCTAGAAAGTTCAAATTTGGCATACAGATAGGTAGTTAGGTAAATACAAAGGAAAAAATCAGAAACTTGATAATTTTTAATTTAAAATTTTTTAATTTTTAATTTTTAATTTTTTAATCAATTGATTTTATTATAATTTTGCAATTATTTTATCTATTATGTTTAATTTTTCAATTTATTAATGAATTGCCTCTAATTTAATGTACTGTTGACTTAAATAACCTTTCCCGTATCGCCGCTCCAAAAATACGACTAGCCGAATATGTGTCGATATTGTCGACCCGCGCGCAGCAACATACTTTTTTTTCTATCTATGTATGTAATTAATATTATTATTTTTAAATATTACAATTAAAATAATTAAATAATTATTCTTACAAATTATGAATTATCCACCCAACAGTAGAAACTACAGTCAATAAAATTATGATAATTAAAAATATACTCAAAAAGAGTTAAAATTATTGTATATTTATTTTACATATATTTTATACTCTGTATATACAACGGAAAATATTTTATAATAAATATTATTATTAATATTAGTAACTGAATTATATTATATAGTAATAAACTTTATTTATAGAATACGTCATGGCTAGGTTAGGTTATAATAATTTACATACAAAAAGTAATGATATCCCACCAAAAACATATATGTAAAATGAGAGCCAAGTTCAATACTATAATATATGCCTTGGTTGTTGACTTCAACGACAAAAGAAGTGAGATCTAAATGGGTGCCAAGTTAGGATAATATATTGAAGCCTAAGGTCTGACTTGGCTACGAATTATATATTATAGCATTTGCAAGTTCTAAAGCTTTGAGTTCTTATTTTATTCTTCGGAAAATCATCTTCACTCTTCCATTACTGTTTTAGTAGGTACTTATAATAATAATTCGTATATGAAAAGTAGCCAAGTCACACCTTAGGCTTCAATATATTATCCTAACTTGGCACCCATTTAGATCTCACTTCTTTTGTCGTTGAAGTCAACAACCAAGGCATATATTATAGTATTGAACTTGGCTCTCATTTTACATATATGTTTTTGGTGGGATGTGAATCTAACAAGACCCCAAACAACAAAATCCATTCTCAGGTTTTGGAGATCTATCTCACTAAATGAAAATGGAAATGATTTTTTGTGGGGCTGTTTACACAGACATTTTTCTGGATTCAAATTGTTATACCGCTTGGGTGAGATATCAGATAATAAATTTCTAAAAATTAAAAATCAAGAAAGTTTACGTGCTGATCCCCAACTTGGCAAGCGTTTTTTTATACTAAACGCTAAACGTGGTTATAGCCATAGACCTTACACTTAAGTTTAAGGTTTATGGTTATAGCCACGAACTAAGATAATATATACAGGACTGGACACGACAAGGTTGGAGGGTGTGGGGGGTTGACCACAAAATGTTATACAACAGGCGGAGTTCGGGAGGCTACTTTCCTTTTAGCATTACTAAAGTTATATTTTTTTTTACTATCAACAAAAAATATTTTCACAGATAACAATGTTTGAAAATTATTAAAAATAATTATAATTTAATATAATTTAAATTTAAAAAAAATCAGGAATACTCATATTTCCTAGTAGCTGGTATATTATTTAATTTTTGTTTTGTAGACCGTAGTGCACACACATTCAAATCGTAGTGCACACTTGCACATTCTTAGTGCACATTGTGTGTCGCGGTGCACATACAAATAGGGCCTGATATTGTCCCAGAAAATATATCCTACCTGAGTGAATAATAAAATAAAACAAATGAATAAAGAATAAGACAAATATTAGGAAAACAAAATACTTTTTTTAATTTATAAATATATAAAAATAAAATCAAACTTTTGTCTTTTTAAAACCAATAAAGACATAAATGTCATAACGATTAACAAATTAATCCTTAATAATAATATTTACAAAAATGTAACTTCATACAAAATAAAAATAATAGTAAATACTTAGGCCGGACCATTAAGTAATGGTTGATATTTTTCAATCTTCATACTAAGTAATATTTTTTAAATACATTTTGTTTGTATTGTTTGATTTTTAGTTGATATAAAAACATCTCTACATTTTTAACAATTGTTGAAGAATAAATACTAGTCCCAATATTATTTGGTTTTATATGTAAAAATTTAAATGTGTGTAGGCCACAACCTTTTTTTTTTTTTGAAATATCAAAGTTCTAAATATGTAATCAACTAGTAATAGACAATGTTTAAATTATATTATTGTTTAATAATGCTGTTCAGATGTATCGCCTTGTTGATTCCCAATGTACCGAACAATAGTTTCACCTAAATTATAATAAATATTACACATTATTTAATCGAGTCAACAAATAATATATTATACAATTTTATTTATACAGTGTATCATGAGGATCATATTCAAAAGTAATTTCTATCTGAATATTGTTAGATATTTATACCCTGTTCAAAATAAGAAGCACATAGATTTAAGTAACAAAACTGTTTTTGCTCGTGGTCGCCTATGTGCTTCTTATTTTGAATAGGGTATATGATACACACTATATAATATGGCGGTCAGAAAAAAAGACCTTTGTATTTGTCATTATACTTGTACACTATACTCAGTTTCCAATAATAATTTATTTTTTAGGAATGACAAAAATAATTTTTTAAAAATGTGAACTGTGTAGTTATGTGTTAAAATGCAGTCTGAGGATTCCACACAACAGAAGCAATTGTGTTGTGAGGTTTAGTATTGTATAAGAATAAATCAACTTATCATACGTTTTAAAGGTAATCATTTAACAATATTTAAATTTTCAAACGTTGTGTATATGTAAAATATTGCAATTTAAAGTTCTAACAACTAGTTTAAAAATTGCAAGAAGCACATACAAACAAAGATTAAGGTTTTATATTTCAGTTTGATAATACATGTCATATGAATATGATATCCTCAAAAGTCCATTGTATTAACATACCAAAAATGTATTGCCAACAACTTATGAATACTTATCTGTACAATTGTTATATACCGAATATATTTTGTAAAAAAATACTATACAATGTTTGTAGTATTTAATACTTGAAAGATTTTTTTTCCAGGATTTATATTTATAATAAAATATTACCAAGTTGTCGAATAAGTGTCAACGTTTCCTGATGCCTTCGTTCTTCTGCACGCTCTTGGTTTGCAGCAATTTTTAATAACGTCTTTTCTTTTTGGTTGGCAATCTCTCTTAGAGTCCTCGTCAACAATGTGTCCTGACTAGTATCAGGCTCTTTGGGTTTAGGAACTATCTTTGGCTGCTTAACAACCTTTCTTAATGTTTTGCCATCATAAACGTGAGTGTTAAATTCAGTTTCATAAAAATCTAAGGATCAAAAATTATTAACATTAATGTAGTTGATGTAATACAGTTGTTAATTGATGCAGTTAACTTACTATCAACAAAATGTGTATCACAGTTTGAATTATCACTGTTGTTTAAATTATCTTCTATAACTATGTTATTCATGGACATATTATTATCGTTGTTTAATCTATTCTGTTTAAAATTTTTTCTTCTGAATATGGTCTTATATCTTAAACATATATTTTATTTCAAATTAACTAACTACAATTATTTCCTAATTCATATGACATAATAATATTAAGTATACCTATTTAGACATTGCTCAGCAGTTCTAGTAATATTTAGTATATTGTTTATGGAATTTGCAATATGTTCAAACATTTTTAATTTAGTCCTGAATGTTCTCTCCAGTCCAACTTTGGAAATATTCTTTTTGTACAAATCCATTAGTAGTTTAGTATCATCAACGCCCCATTCATTCATAGATTTCATCGTACATTGACCTAAAAATCCAATGATTTACTTAATGATTTCTAGAGCATAATATGTAAGATTAATATTTCTTGAAAGTTGACAATTATGACCAAACCAAAAAAAATATATATTATTGATTGTAGCATGTTACCATTAGTTCCAGAGTTCTGTCCATTATAATCATGGTCTGCTGACACTGAAGCTGTAACATCATTTTGTAATCTTTCCCCTTCACTGAATCTTTTTTCAACATTTGATCTAGACTTTTGTAATATTGAACATCCAACCTTTCGTTGATTAACTACCGTCTTATACCTAAATAAATTCAGTTGTTCCATACATAACACAAATATTTAAAAAAAAATACTTATAACTAATATACCTATTTTCACATTGATGAGCACTTCTGATGATATTTAATTTAGCAGATATTGTTTGTGCTATACATTTGAACATTTCTCTTTTACTTTTAAATTTTTTCATTGGTCCTACTTGTGTAATATTTCGTCTATACATATCTAAAAGAATTTTTGTTTCATATTGACTCCATTCTCGGCAATTTCTTTTACCTGTATAAAAAACAATAATTATTTTTTACATTTCTAACTCAACCTCTTCAATTGAGACATTTGAATAAAATACATATTTTTAGTTGTTTAGAATAAGTATCATAATTATATTATAACTTTAGGAGGGCGATTGTAGACTCTCCCGATTTTAATGACCTGTAAACTCTTTCGAAGTCTACTTAAGTACTACTCGAAGGCTACATGTAAACTCTCCCGAGTTTGTTATAACTATGTTTATTGCTTATACATTATGATTTAATGTTTAAAATAATATGAATATACACATTTTTAAAATGTATTATCAATTATTTTGATGGCAATGACGCAGTTTCTTTAAAATATTCAAAAATGTATATCTATGATCAAAGTATTGAAGTCCAACTTGCATATTTTATTAAATCAAATTTTGGTTTACAAGACTTGAAAAACAGGACATTTCTGGTAGATTTGTATTATTAACAAAGTAATAATAAAAAAAAAAATAATTCAAATTAAAGGAAATAAATTGGGATAATAATAAAAATTAAGAGAAAAAAAAATATTATATATTATGAATATATGTAAAATATTAGGGATGATAAATGGAAAAGATAACTCTAAGATTGGAGTTTAAATTATTTCACATATTAAAAAAACTGTTCAATAGCATCAGCAACTTAGAGAGTTCATTTTTAATGTACAAAAATGTACTCACTTCTAATCAAACTTGTATTCAAGTTTTAAAATATCTAAAAATCTTTAATTTTTCAATGCAATTTCAAAGGCAAAATAATATAAAGGATAAAATGTAAAAATAGAAAAAGAATATTGTCATTATGTTTGTATGTCATTAAAAAAAACCTACGATGACCAGTTTTATCCGTATTAATATTTAAATACAATTTTTTAAGATTTTGTTTAAAGTGCACACACATTTTTTATCATACATTTAAAACAAAAAATAATTTAGGGAAAACAAACGTATAAAAAAAATTTATTTAATGAAAACATTAACACGTTGAACGCCGACGTCGATTTGGCATGCATGCACCAGTGACTGAAATGATTTGACCTGCGAGCGACTGTCGTTAATCGTGAAATTAGTAGATTTTACCCAATCGTTAATACGGTTATGAATGTCCTATAGAAATTTCAAATGTGTTCAGCTATAGCCACCGAAAAAAGACTCAATACGAAAAAGGTTACTCTATGTCAACCACGGGTTGACAATGGCGTTCAACGTGTAAAGTAAAGAATGTTAACACGTTCACTGTAGATGACAGTATGACACCAAATAACAACATTTAACATCGTTTGCATATTAATGAATGACGCCAATTAGCATTATGAACCTTGTTATTAAATTAACTACAATTTGCTCACCATTACTATTAGTTTTTTGTTAGCACCTCCTATTAGTATTATTTCATAAGTAGGTACGTGCAAGTTGTAAATACAATATTTTAATTTTTAAAATTTTAATAATTTTCTTTTAAAATCCAAATTTATTTAGTGTCAAAACAAGTAATAACTATACTCCAATATGATCCGCAGCAAATGTGTTAAATAAATAATAATAATTTAATACAATTACGGGATTCTTCAAGAATATCAGTTTCAAGTTGTAGCGGTTCATCTTGAACGGTATTATTTTCATAGGTTTCAAATGGTCCTTCAATGACGAATATATCTTTTGAATCTGAAAATTTAAAAAAAAAATGAACTTGCTATTTTGGTTCATGAAATATAACATATAACCAACTCACCTATTTCAGGATCTCGTTTAACTAGATTTCCATTGCACAAGTAATAAGTAGTCTCCATAATGTGGATTCATAAATCTGATAATTATTATTTAACCGAAAACTAACATCAGCCAACGGCAAACAGTTAGACGTTTAAATAAAAAATTATTGGAATCTCAACAAAATTTAAAATTTTCTTTAGCGTTATCAAATGAACACTGAAGATATGTTGTTCACGTTATCATAGAATGAATTCTGAGGCGTTATCGCTATTAAACATGAATATTATTTATATTTTTAATTTTACATTTCACCCACGGAGATATAAACATGACGTATTCTGGTAATATTATCCATAGATAATATATATATATATATATATAATTATAAATATTCTATGATATTATCCCGTATGATAATAATATTATTCAATTTTATCTCGCCTTAACACCGTCCAGCTGCAACTCCTAGGGAAAGTGTTAACATTTGAGGTTATATTTGAAAAACGTTGCGTTTTCTTATCAGCGGTTTCGATATCCTTGTAAAAATTATTTTCATTAATCTCATTTTTTTTCTAAAAAATTATATTATTAAGTGTTTTTTTTTTTTTTTTTGTTTAATTTTTCTTTTATCCTTTCCGTTTTTCCGTCCAATAAACCTTTATTAAATTTCTTACACTAAACTTAGTTTACATCGTTTCATCCATCATGAGTAAATTGCTGTTCATTCGAAACATTCGTGGCTTAGACGAACCTTCTCTTCGACAGATTATTAACAGTAAGAATTTGCCTTGTGGTACTATAATGTTTAAGTCTGGTGGAGCATGTGCAACAGTTGACTTTATGGAACCGTCCACTGCCGAGTATGCTCTGACACAGCTCAACGGTAAGTATTTTGCATCAGTAAATTAAACAAGTTCAATTTAACTTTGTTTTAAATAATTTACAGGTATGCCGCTCCAAGATCAAACCCTTGCTGTAGAACCTTACAATGGCTTGCACAGTCAAATGGTGAAAAAAGCAAGGTAAGTCATAGTTTTAATAATTACCTACTAAACTTATTAGGCGTGGTCATCATAAAAGATAAATACCTATTATTATAATTACAGTGATAATAATATCCAAACAATTATCAACTGATATAGTTGATTTTATATCAAGCATCCTTTTATAAATTCATAATATAATGTAATATTTTCAATGTTTTGAATTTTAATAACTATTGTTGAATTATTCAGACTAATGACTATTTTTAACATTTTATTATCTTTGTAATATATTGGAATAAAATTATTTAATTACCTATATTATTATATGGTACATTTAGTGTATTCTGTAATACTTTAACTAAAATTGAATTACTCTGAAACCAAACAATTTAATAAATTTTCAAAATTTGAAGACTACAAAAATATTTTTATGTTAATGCGTTCTAAATCTGACCTTATATAAATATAAATGAGACAGAAAAATAATCTTATACAAGCATATTAAATTGTATACTAATAATCAACAATATCAATTCATAAAGTACTAGATGAATATTATAAACATGACACATATCAAATTTTACATCCACTGAAGTTTGGTTGGTTGGGATTGTTGGTTGGGTTGAGATTGTAAAATTATCTCAGTTGAAATGTAAAAAATAAAATAATAAAATAATCCAATAATAAACACAAATATTTTGTTACATTATTTTGTTTTATCTTAATTCTTAAATAAATGTTTTATAATCTATTAAATGTTCTTAATTCTTGAACATTAATAGTAAAGTAGAAATAGAAATTAAACTTTGAGTATCTAACATTGAACATTATTATGTGACATGTTTATTACTTTATGAATGTGTAATACAATTAACTCATAATAAAATTAAAATTCTGAGTTCAATAGTATGTCTCTAAATCAAACTCGAGACTTCATTGTGTTTATGAACAAAAATTGTTCGGTCATATGATCAAGTAATAGTTACATATTATTTGCACATTTATTTATTTTTTATTTTATTTTTATTATTAAATGTTCAATTATTTAAATACTATATCTACATCGAAAGTTAAAATCTCAAATTTGATTAGTATTTTCATACATGGTGTAGGTCCGTGGTTATTTATATATTACAGTGGATTTAAGTATTAATCATAACTTTTAGTTATGAAACTAATTTAAAATGTTTTATCCAACTGATATTTGAATATGGATTTTAAAACTAATCACCAGCTAATCAGGCTCAGATGAAACCTGTGAAGTACTAGAAAATGTCAGTGAGCCACACAAACTTTAGTTGATGACAACATGTATAAACACTAATAAATTATCAAAATGGTTAACAAGATGCTTAGTTTACGCTGCTTTACTTTATTTGTAAGTCCAAACATTAAAGATAATTAAAAACAATTCAATTTATTTATAGGTACAAAATTTACAACCTTCTTTAATTTCTGAGTACATAGTCGGTAAGCTGCATGACCAATAAATGTGCTTTCCACATAAAAGATAAAACAATTATAAAATCCATATATTGTAAACCCTAAATCTATCATGCGCATTATTCAATAGAAGTTTATTCAATAGAAGTCATAAAGAAATTTATAAATAGAAAAAGATTCAAATTGTATGTATAATATGTTTTTTTATATGAAATCGCCTTCATGGATGTAACTATTGATAACTAGTTACTAAACAGTCGACACCCTTGGCTTTCTTGTTAAGGGTGTCGGAGCCAGTGCGTTTTTAGAACAAAAGTATAAGTTAGGAAAAACTCTTGCCCTGTAAAATAGTTGGATTTTATTAATTTTTTTTTTAATTTTATAATGAGAAAATTTTGCAAGTTGGATTAGTCTGGTTTTCAAAATGTTGATTATACATTTATAATACCTATAAACTAAAATATGCATTTGAATAATGCACAATATTTGTTATTTTCAAACGTACTTTTCTAGCACTATTTAAAGTAAAATGAAAATTCGGGCTTTGATCTGTTCTACAAAAAGTTCTCATCTTTCATATAAAAAAAAAATAATCAAAATCTGACTTATGAATGAAGCTTGAACGTTTTTCTTTAAAGACATATTTGTGTTGATATAATACACAGTATAACCCCACCCTAAGTAGGTATTGGGTAGTAGATTAGTGGATAAGTATTATAACTAAGGTAACAAATACAATTTAAAATATAATTTTCAAATTATATAGAATCGCGGGAAATTTGAAAAATTTACTTGGAAATCATACGCTTGCGATTAAGGGGTTATGAATAGGCAATTATACTAGCTAAAATTATAATATAACAATATTATCAAAAATATAGACTATCAGAGTAATTTGATTTTCAGTTATTGTCTATAATTATTTATTCAGTGTAGAAAACAAATAAACATTGTATTTATTCAGATTGTAGATCATAATATATGAAATCAAAACAATAACTTAAATTATCCAACTTTGCCAAAATATATATAATCTTAAAAGTTAAAACAAAATTTGCAATTTTATTAATACTTATACTTAAGAATTTAAATTCAAACACTTCAAACGCCTAAACAATGCCTATAAAATAAATAATACATAATAAATAAACAAATAAAAAATAACTAAATATTTTGAAAAAATGAAAATAATATGTCAAGTATAACTACAGTCATTCGTGTTTGAATTACCACCAAATAACGAAATAATCGGTTTTCCTGATTATTAATGTGGAATTTTTTACTTTGAATCACGAAGGTATACTAAGATTTTATTTTCTATCAGAAACCATCTTCTGAGTTGAAAAATCAACCGTTTTTACTGATAAAAAAATTATGACGGACTCAAAAAGTTTTTTTTTAAACACATCTTAAAACCAATAAATTTATTGAAACCACTCAGAATCTAAAATTAGGGACTTGCCCTCTAATATAAAGTAGGTTTCAAACGTACCTCGTCATTGAGCAAGTCACTGGGTATGTAATATATGTATTAAATTCAAAATCGATGATAAATCGAATTATTTAAAGATCTTCTTTGGGGTATCCATTTATTCACAAATTTTAAAATAATATACAATAAGTAATGTCACAATAACCAATTCATTATTACGGAAGATTGAACTAATTTTTTCCAAAACATCCAATATGCAATAATTAAAGTAATCAGCAGTTCTCAAAGTGTGGGCCGCGGTGTCTGTACAGGGATACTGCAGCGCTGCCTTAGAATTTTTTATGGTCCAAAAATTAGTTTGAAAACACAATGATGGCGCCATGGTGGTGACGGAAACGATTACGATTATGTAAATAAAAATGTATACATTTTATATAAATTACATTTTTTCTGGCTTTTATTTTTTTTTCTATTTTAATGATTAGTCATGACTTTTGGGAAGGTCGCCCTGAGAAAACCTTAGTTCAAATAGGGCCCCGCGAGCCAAAAAAGTTTGGGAACCTCTGAGTTTGTAAATAATTTTTGCAATGTACCGGTAATAAATTGGTTGAAATTAGTCTAATGCCCGTATGCATAGTCAATTTATGTGTCACATAAGACATGTTAAACTATGTCTTATGTGACACATTCATGTATTGCATATATGGACATAAATATTTTGAAAATTTAAATTGTGTATGAAAATAATAATAAATCTATAACCTAATTGCGAACAATTTTAATTCTATAATCTATATATATTCGCTGTAAAATATTGTTGTCGTAAGGATTATAAATGTATTTAAAATTTTAACTTAATAATGTTAATTATAAAAAAATTGTGCCTTTATCTATATGGTTTTGATATTTTTAAATTGCTATAAGAAACATTTTTGAGGAATCATGTACCTATATTAAAATTTCAGGTTTTTGGTCCGAGAAACACAAATGTTATCAACATAAATCGAGATAAAATTAAAAAGTCATTAGCAAATTTCAAATACATCTAAAAAGTTTAAATATTTGGTGAAAATGTCAAGTCTACGGTTATTCTTTTCTAAAATACTCTTTGTGATCAAAAGTATATATTATATTGATTTTGTCAAAAACTGCTGTTTTTAATCTGCTGTAAATAATTTCATTTTCCTTCGGTTTTTTGTTAGTTTTTCCTAATTGTCAAGAAAAATACTGAGGTTTTTCCATTTTTGACTCTTTAAAGTACCAAGTAGATCAAATTTCTTGTATAAAGCACTGTTAGTTTTGTTGATTAAAACAATATTTCTGTTCTACAAGATTACTGAGTGTCATCAGATGAAAAAAAAAAGCGCATTGTAAAACACTAAAACTCATATAATATAGGTACCTATACATTATTCCTCGATCCGTTAAGAATATAAGTTCGTCTACGGTCTACTTAATATATGCTCAAAGTTTTTTCCGATAGGTACAGTTAATTATTTATGCGTATTTTACATGTAAAAAGAAACCATAAAAACATATTTTATAAAATATAAAGGTGGTATGATTGTGTGTCATATGCGTGCTTTTTTTATTCGGCACGTTACCTGGATCTCTAGTCGTGCGTTCCACAAGCGTCATAAGTGAGGCTGTGTTTAAGGAATTAATCTCTTGTTTTTATCTATCTATAAACCTATTTTGAATTAAATTTACCAAATTAGGTTGAAAACATTAAGAGTTTTTTTTAAAGCCTATTTTTGTATGTTTTCGTGGTTCTACTATAGTCGAGGTTATTAAATTAACATACTTATCATAACTATTTGGTGTTGATCCTACATTCTAGTATTAGTATTGTACAGTTCTAATAATTTAGGCAATTTACCTAAGCATGGAAAACATAGAAGTTAAATTTTAGATTTTGTACAATATTATCACCTATAGGTAATTCAATACATTGCTATTAGTTATTACTTATTATTGACATTAAGAATATTTTGTGCAATAGATATTCCTAACTTATATTTATTCTATTTGTTTGTAAAAAAGTGTTCGCAATTTTACTGATTTTTATTTTAAGCTTAACTTAAGATGATAATTGAGTTATAATATAATTTTGGTGAAAAAAACGCATAAAATGAAAAAGCTTTTGGATTCCTTTTTGTAG